TTTACTTGTATAACTGGGGAACACTTTATTTCCAGGTCAATCATGAAGCGCAGAATGTTCAGGTTTTAACATTTGGACAACCTCGTATTGGCAATGCAGTGTTTGCGACTTACTACAGTGACCGCGTGCCAAATACAATACGTATTACTAATGGACATGATATTGTGCCTCATTTGCCTCCGTACTATTCTCGGTTTCCACTGAAGACTTACCATCACTTCCCTAGAGAGGTAAGGCTTTGATCATATAAATTATGGGGAATTGTTACTGACTGAATTTGACGTTTGCTTTGCATTTCTTTCAGCCTATCTTACTGGTGAAGTCTCATTTATTCCAACAATGTATTTACTCTCTTTTTTCAGCGTATAAAATATAATTGTCTTGTTTTTATCTTCTTAGCAAAGCAAGATAGTTTGTAGTACTCATGACTTTTCAGAAATGTTTGAGTAACTCTCATTCCTGCACGAGCCATCATTTGTTTTTTCGTACCAATTCCAAAGTTTAAGATGTGTGATAGTGTCTGCTATATACTCTCTTTGATGGCTGATAAGCTAGTCTTAACCCCTCTCTCTCTCTCTCTCTCTCTCTGATGGCTGTCTTAACCTAGTCTTAGGCGTCTTAGGCTCTGTGCAATTATACACATTTTAATTATTGTATGTCAACATCTACTAATGCTTATAATTATTGGCGACTAGCTCAATGACAGCTACGGATAAACTTATTGATGTGAGACAATTTGAAAATGATCTGATTCCACCTGCTTCTCTGGTGACTAATCATAATCTTTTCTATGTCAGTGTTCACATGTAATTGGAATGTTCCCTTTGTTGTAGGTATGGCTATATAATATAGGATTTGGTAGTCTGGTTTACCAGGTTGAGAAAGTTTGTGATAGCTCTGGAGAAGATCCATCATGCAGCAGGTAATGATGTTGTTTCAGTCGTAGCTACTTGTTCAAGCAATTAGTTTGTGGATTTGTCATGCTAGACACAAGAAGTCGTGTGACCGACCAGCTTGTTCTAGAGAATATTGGTTCTTTGTTACCAGGAATATATGTGGACGATTGATGAGAATGCGTCTTTGCAGATCAGTGACTGGTAACAGCCTTACAGACCATTTAGTCTACTATGGTGTGGGATTAATGGCTGAGACATGGGGATCGTGCAAAATCGTCGTGGACGCACGATTGAAGGAATATGGAGGTGAAGATATCAAAGGAAATCTTATCCTTTCCAGGAATCCTTCTGCTTTTGCATTGAGGCTGCCTTCAGACTCTGATGCCAAGAGCAACTTTAGTTAAAATGCTCCTGGGTCAGCTCCTGGTTTCTCAAAGATCAACAGGGACTCTGTGATGACGGTCTTGAAATGCATTCCATCGATCTGTTGTCCATATCAATCACAAGATGAATAAGAGCTCTATATTCAGTCTGAATGTAAATAGCACGAAGTTGAATGTGTCATCCTTGTAAATACAACTCCGTGACTTCTATTGAATGAATGTGTTTGCAAGTTTACCTGTGAGTCTAATCTTGGGCCTGTGGCTTTTTTTTACCAGACTTGACAAAACCTAATAACGATGTGTGGACTTTTATTTTTATTTTTTTGGGGGGAGGGAAGAGTCCCTTGGGAGACCACTTCTCAATTTGGGACCTTCCTTTCTACTATAGGCACATTGTCACAAAAGACTTCTTGGCACAAGTTCTTCAACTGTTTCTTGGCAGGGGGTTATGCTCAAGCCATCTTGGAAATAGATGATGACCTTGTCTTGCATCATTTCCACGGGCAACCTTTGCTAAATCTTGAATTTTAGGAGTGTGAACAATTTATATTATCTTGGCTTTGACATGTAACACTGATCAGCCTTTGGAATGAGAGTTGGAAGCTTTTACCTTCTTTTTTCTGATATATAGGTATTAACTAAATTTCCTTCATCATATCAAAGAATATAATGCTAATTATGACCATCAAAACACATTGTGCAAGAGACTGACAAAATCCTCGACACCATATAATAAGAGTTTGTGTGATACGGGAAATGCCAATGTATAACCCCACAACATTGGGAAAGATATACATCGTTTCACTTATATCTTTCTTACTTGATGAGCTGGTTGTCAATTCTACGCATCAACCGAGTTAGCCACAACTTGCCTACACAGAAAGACCTCATAAATTTCTCTTACTTGTTACCGAGAGAAAAAGCTCAGGTTGTCATATAGGACTTTCGTCGGGGAGTGGTTCACCTTATCAATGTTGAAACCTAAAGCTCCTTTTTCTAGGATAACTAAAAGGTGAATGACAGAGCTTTTGTCATCGATTAAGGCCTACACATTTGAATAAATCTTTCATTGTTTAAGGTGTAACAAAGTTAATATTTAAAGGGCATAGATATCAGCTTCAATTTAATTTTAATGTACAACCAAGCAAGTTCCAGGAATCTCTTATAAGACCAATGTGTAAATTGACAAAATTAATGCACCTGAATGTAGTAAAACTAGCATCAATTCGACTTGTCTTTTTCCAGAAACTTATTTCGCCTACCAAAACCGTCAAAAGGGAATATATCTAAACCAAATCGAACTCATGAAATAGATTGAAAGAAACCATGGTCCCATTTCATGAGCAGTTTACATCTATCCATCTTAGAGGTAGAAAGTGGTTGCAAAAACGGCCAGTATTTAACTATACAGGGATAAAAGTTTCAAGTCAACTTGTCAATTTGTGGTTCTAATTTAGTATATAGAACACGATTCCAGGAAAGACAATAACGAATGTTTGCTAGAATGACATAGGGCAATAAGCAATTTGTTTAAGTTTCAAAGCTTCTTGACAACAGATCTTGTTGTAAATGTAGGAGCTTTCAAGAACCGCATGCACCTCTTACTGGAAAGTGTACTCTGTAGAGCATGTCTTCTAAAATTTTTCGAGAAATGGCTTGAACCTCTTCAAATTGAAACAATCAAGCCTCACACATGTTATTTCCTCTCTAAAAAGTATTTCGAGTAGATCAACTTACATCAAGGATGGTAGGGCCTTCAATTGACAATTCTTCCAAAGATTCTGGGAGTTTGCGACGAGCAAAATCCACATCACTACAATAATCTAGCGCAACCGACTTCCCACTTCTTCAAATGAGTCGAGATAAGGGAAACTCACCCATTGTCAAGATCAAAGAGCTCTAGAATTCGCAGATTCTCCAAATAGTCAAGGCATTGATTCTCTGTTATTGCAGAGTTTTCCATTCTTAGTTCTGACACTCTCTTCAAATTTGAGAGATCCATAGTTGTTCTCATCCATTAGTAAGATTCAACACATAAATAAGATAAACTTGAGGGAAGCCTTGGGAGGCACAACAAATTAGCACACCGGAGTTCTAGTCTTTTGAGTTGAGAAAGCTAACCAATATATGTTGATAAGGTGATTACAACAGCAAATAACAAGGTCAAAGACTCCGGTTTTTTTTTTATAATATCACGGTGCACCATGGCATAGGATCTTCCACAAGTTGACAATTGTCCACGGGGTAAGCATCTGGTCAAATGACCAAATACAAATCATTTAAATTTGTCAGGTTTGCAAAATCTGGAATTGTTGTCATGGATGTATCAATGTGTGCACTGACAAGACTTTCTGGAAGCCTTGGTAGTTGGCATGTTTCAATTAGAGTTAATTTCAAGATCCTCAAAGACGAATATCTGCAAATGTCATTTGGAATTTCCAGTTGAAAGCTTCCACCTTGTGTCGCGTCTATTTCTTCAAGCTTTTACAGCAACCACAAGGCACTAGGTATCTTTCCAATGGAAAATTATTCATCCTCACTACGTTCAAACTTTTCATGTTTCCCATGGAGTCAGGTAGCTCTTTAATGCACGTCTGGGAAATATTGAACTCAAGTAGCAATTGCAGATTGCCAATTGAGTCTGGAAGCCTCTCTATACATCAACATTATTTCAAAGACAAGTATTCAAGGCTTGTAAGAGCTCCAATTAACAGGGGAAGTTGTGTAATTATGGTGCTTCTCAAATATAGCCACGATAGAGATGTCAGACCAATGGAAGAGATTATCTTCAATGATGAACAATGCGAAGCACTAAGAATTTTAATATCCTTCAGCGCTTGATATTCAGCATTGAAGAATTCAGTATTGCTAATATCATAGATATTTCCCACAAGCGCATTCAATTGTTTCTTCTGGTCAACATCATAAAAAAGGAAGAGATCTCTTTTACTAGATAGCCTATCTTAAATTGCCTTAATCCCTTCATCAACCTTGCTTATTTCAGTCAATTTCATTTTAATACATAGGAGATGAGTTGATTCTGCAAAAACTGAATGCCCTTGAGCTCTGAACTATCACCATTGTTAGAAAGAAAGCAACAGACCTCAAAACCATGCGAAAGCTGATTGTAGATAATTAATTTTGGCAAGAGTCAACTTTAAAACACCGCCATTCCATGAATTCCAACAATTCATGTTTCCTGGGTTGTGAGTGTCATTCATTCTCATGAGTAAGACTACCTTGAACACCATATTCACATCGAAAGATCCATGACCAGTTTTGACAGGCGCAACTAAGACTACTGCGAACACCTCTTTAAGCACACACAATTTTTCTCCCTGTCAAGACAAGCGCTTCAAGTGTTTCCCCGTAAAGGAATATTTGGGTACTGATAAGCAAGTTCAATTGAATGTCAATGAAGAGAACACGCGTGAAGATGAAGTGCAATATTCATTCTTATGGTCCCATAAAAAAGATTAATAAACAATCAGGTTTACCACCAAAAACATTACGTATGATGCCCCAAATTGCATAATGAATCCGTCTGCCCTGCTCTAATGATTTCTCTGAAAAAAGGGCGAATAATTCAACTGAAACTTCACATCGAGTTCAACAGATTCAACGATTTCATCAATTGGCAACGACTTCCCTCACTAATCGTCAAGTTTCTGTCTTCCAACAGATGAATGCACAGTTTACCACCCCAAGATTGTGAGAGGGAATTTGGTCTTCATTTGTACAGCTGCCCAATTAGCCACAGCTCCCTGCACAGAAAGATTCTGTAAGTTTCTCAAACTCTAATTCCTCTCGGCAACATTAGAAACCGACAAAAAGCCGGTCGTTTGAGATGTCTCCCTTAGCACTTCTTGTCAATCTTAAAACCTAAAAGAGTCCTCTAGTGCAGCTTGAGGTGAATGGAAGGGATTCTATTACAGATAATCACCTAGGCATAACCATTTCTAGAAGATGTAGGTGATAACAGAGATCGCACAAGAGTCCATTTACATTATTTCTGACCCTAGTGAGACTTATCATCTGTGCTAGGCACCAGTAATACCGAAATATTGGCCTTTGACTATAAGATGATTTATGATACCTCGAAGAAGCAAAGTAGTTCTCCTCTCCTGTCATAGATAGAAGTTTTGCTGCGCGAACTATTGATGCCGCTACCTAAGTGAAATTCATCCTTCTTCATTTCATAACTTCTCTCTAACATTTGCAAATCCCACTAAGAAGCACACCTTTCCTGGAAAATAAACTGAACGTAAGCATATCAATACAGAGTGTCTGTCTTCTTCACAATCACAACGATGAGTTGATTATGCTGTGCAGTTACAGGATGAGAACCATAGTGCCATAACCTTCTAGCACACATTCCATCTAATTGTTTACAGCATAACGAAGTCATCTCCAAAGCGAAGCGAGGTTATCAACTTCGAAATATGTGAAGCAACAAATCAACACGGATCTCTAATAATTTGTTACATATCAAATAAAAACAACGCAATTGACATGCATACCTCCAGCTGGGAAACATAAAAGCAAGGAGAAAACATCCAAAGAGAAAATAGCTAAACAAAGCCAAACCAAACTAGGAAAAGAGAACGTATATTTGTGCATAATTAAGAACCTCTGGTTGTGCGGAGTTATCATAATATCAATACCTTCATCATATTTTGCAGTTATCAACTCGTGAAAAGGTAATTAGAAAGTTGCATATGAAACTTCTCTGTTCATTTCCGTGAAAGAAATTTGATTGCAGAAAAGGGAAAACATGGGTTGTCAGATGAAATAAGTTACCTCAATTTGTTTGAAGTTAAGGGAACGATTTGTGGTCGGGGATCAAGAAGCTTTCAAGAGCAACGTGCACTCATCCATCAGTTTCGCATTCAGATCCGTCGTCTTCATCCTCGGATCCATGTTCAATTTCGCTTTCAGATTCGTCATCTTCTCCTTCGGATCCATGTTCAATTTCGCATTCAGATTCGTCGGTTCTCCCTCGGATCCATGTTCAATTTGCTCTTCAGATTTGTCTTCTCCCTCTAATCCGTATCGGTCTCCTACAATCTGACTAACTTCTTCGAGTTGAGCGAAGAATTTCATCCACAACTAATTTCCCGCAACCCTCTATTCTAACTACATCTCTCTTCAAGTTTGACAGATCTGGCAAATTCCGTAAAGATCCACAGGAATGAAGGCCCAAAAAGAACAAAGTCGGTGGTAGTTTGCCTTGGATTTCAACCAGATCACTACAATGGGCTACGCCAATCTGCCTTAGTTTGTTGGAATTACTTAGATCGAAAAATATCTCCACCAGTGGAAGTCCCACAAGCCACAATTCGCCTAGGTTCTGCAAACCGTCAAGCCCTCGAATCTCTGAGATTGCACAGTCACGAATCTTAAGAGTTGATAGCTCCTTCAAATTCGATATATCCCCCGTGGAGCAACATGACCTGCAACCTTGCAAATCCAAGGATAATAAACTGGAGGGAAGGCTCGGGAGGCAACCCAGCTTAGGGCACCGGATGTAAAGACTTCGGAGTCGAGGAAGGAGACTCCTACAATCCGTGGGTAAGGTGGGCAAGTGATCAGAGATCAAAACCAAGGATAATAAACTAGAGGGAAGGCTCGGGAGGTCACGCAGATTAGGGGCATCGAGGTAAAGGTTTCGGAGTCGAGGAAGGAGACTAATCTCTGTGGGTAAGGCGGTCACTTGTGGAGAGGCCAGGAGAAGAGACTCCAGTTTGCTTAATTTCCCAATCCACCGTGGCATCTCATATTCTTCCACAGGCTCACCATCACGTGGGACAAAGATCAGTTTCAATCCCTTTAAATTAGTCAGGTTTGAGAGATTTGGAAACGTGTGCATGCGCAATGCAGACAGCTCTAGAATGATAAGACTTTCGGGAAGAAGCCTCGGTAGTGCGTTTATCTCAGCTTGCTCCAATCCCAATATCCTCAGAGATCGATTTCTGGAGATGCCATCGCCAATTTCCACATCGAAACCGGGGGTAGTATCTCGGACATACATTTCAAACGTCATATCTTCGGCATCCATGCCATCAAAGTCTTCTATTGGGTATAGGGCATCTATTTCTTCGAGCTTCTCAATCGTCCAGAGAGTGTCGGGTATTTTTTTTGTGGGATTCCGTCTCATCCTCACTACTTTCAAATTTTTCAAGTTTCCAATGGAATCGGGTAGTTTTTCGATCCCCGTTCCCGATATATGCAATTCAATCAGCGATTCCAAATTTCCGATTGTATGCGGAAGCTCGTCCAAACGTTCGCAACAATTCAAAGATAGGTATTCAAGGCTTTCCAATTGACAAATCGACTTGTCAATTTTGACTAATTTGACACAGCCATTTAGGCTCAAACGTTCTAAATTTGAATGAGCATAGAAGTTGGGGGTTCTCTCCAAGCAATGGCAATAGGACAGATCCATGACTTTCAAATTCTTCATCACCTGTGAAAAGAAAAATCACGCAAAGATTACTTTCGAATCTAATAAGACGGAATAATAAGAGTTGTCTAGCATATAAGATACCTCCATATGGCTCCACCCCTTCCAATCATCCGTAATTTCACTCTCAGATAGATCAAGAAAAACCACACCCTCCATGAAGAAATTTGTAATGTTAAATGTTGGGGGAATACGATGCCATGAAAGCCATCGTAAATGTGGAAGGAGATCTGAATTCTCATTAGTTGGAGGACCATTTGATGGCGATTGGTGCCAAATAAGGCTCTCTTCATTTTCCACTTCAAGGAACCTTAGTTTTGACAGGCTCTCAAAGCCCTCATAGGTAAAACAATACTGCCGCCGATGGTCAAGGCGGAGCCGGAGAGCTTCAGCTTCTTTATAACCCTGCCCAAAGGAAAATTGAAAAAACAAAAAGGCTGAAAGGAAACCCATTTATTCAAGTCCACCATATTAAGCGGCCGAGCTCAGTACTATCATTCCTGTAATACAAAAAGTAATTGGCTTTTTTAAAAAAAAAAATCCATGAGGGGGGGAGGAGATTTTACCTTACGTCTCCTTAGCAAATCCACTCCTTCCTCGGGATCCCACACCCTACTTTGCTTCTCTATTTTTAAGTTACTTTCTTCAAGAACTATTTCTCTTCCGAGGTCTCTGAGTAGGTCATGCATCCATACTTCATTGTCCTTTTCAATACTTATCAAAGACATGTTCTGCAAAACTTCCATTGCCTCGTCCGGAAAAAATTTAGATTTATCCCAGAAGTGAATCACGATATCTTTGTCATATCCAATGAAAAGACAAGCTATATCGAGAAATATATGCTTCTCTCGAAAACGTAACGCATTATAACTTATTTTCAGCTTACTCTGAACATCCTCAGGAGGAATATTTTCCAACTCCTCTAATTTGCTATCCCACTTTTCCACTTTAATGTTAAATAAAAGTGAGCCTATGACTTTAAGAGCTAGCGGCAGACCTCCAGCAATGCTTATCGCCCTCTCAGATTGGTTGATATACCCATCTAAAGGAGAATCTCTTTTGAAGGCATGTTTGCTAAAAAGTTGAAGAGATTGATCATGATCCATGCCGGTAACCTCATACTGGTCGTCCACTTCGGACCTCTTGAGAACCTCTTTGTTTCTAGTAGTGATAATAAGTTTGCTCCCTACATCAAACCAATTACGCTTACCTACGAGTGCATCCATATGTTTCATGTTATCCACATCATCGAGAAGGAGGAGGACTTTTTTAGTACACAACCTCTCTTGAATTGTGTTAATCCCATCATCTACGGTGTTTACTTCCTGCCGTTTCGTTTTGAGGATGTCAGAAATGAGTTGATTCTGCAAGTCTTCAATGCCCTTGCGTTCTGACATTTCACGGATATTGGATAGAAAGCAGCAACGTTTGAAATATTTTGAAAGTCGATTGTAGATGATTTTGGCAATAGTCGTCTTTCCGACACCACCCATTCCGTAGATTCCTATAATCCGTGTTTCACTTGTCTCATCACCTATCATTTCCATGATTCGATCCACATGTTTGTCGACACGGACGAAGCAGTCTGATACCACCAAATGAGCCTTTTTCAACTCACTGAAAATCATATCGGTAACTGTTTTGGCAAACTCACCTTGTCGTCTAGTGTTGGAGATCAAAAGGCAACGAGTTAGACAACTGTGTTGAACCAAATTATGTTCAGACAAGAGCGAATCGAAACTAGAGACATATTCGTAATGTGCTCTTCAAGGATTTATTCCATTGTAGATGAATTAGCGTTGGTACAGACGGTTAATGAAGGACTTGAACTGAAAAAAATGTTGTTTGGAATGAAAAAGGACGAAATTGGGATTGTGCCATTATTTAACGTGATTTCTGCGGGATAACTTCAATAGCATAAAATTCAATTTTAACAAGACTAACACAAATATAGAAAAGAAACCAATCGAAACGCATCAAGTTTTAATGGTACAAGGTACATGAGATGAAATGCTAAAAGCAGTCACCTTTTCTTCTTCTCGCTATGGAGATCCCATCCGTGTATTGCCCCAACTGCAGTGAGAGCATCCTTCCATTGACATATAGTCTCGTGGCCATACCGCCCCTTCTTTTCATGTGAAAGAAAGGCCTTTCCATAACGCCCAGTTTGGTATCGAACCACTGAACGGGCCACATTATAAAAAATGGGCATGATCTTTTGTCTTCCAGCTTTCTGGAATTCGACCATCTTGGCTAGCTCCTTGAGACACCATACGCTAGAGGCATAACCTTTCGAAAAGATAGGTATTGAGATCTTTGACGCCTCAATTGCTTGAAGAAGTTTTGGGCCAAACTCTTCCCCAACGCGGAGCTCTGTGTCATCCTTAAATACGTGGATTCCCACATCTTGAAGACTAGTATAAAGGAAGTCGGTAAAAGCTAATCGAGTATCTGGTCCTCTGAAACTGAAGAATACTTCATAGTCATATCCTAATGAAATATCCATTCCTTGATCTTCTGCTGAAGTGTGAGTGGAAGAAGCGCCTTCTGCTGTTCCATCGTTTGCAGCTAAATTGTTATTTGCCTCCCCTTTCTCGAGGGCGGCAGGGGCGTCATCGTCGCGGAGGGCGGAGGAGAACTGGCGGCGGAGCTTCTTGAGCTCTTTGATGGAGGCGAGTACGGAGGGCTTGGAGCGGAGGACGTCCTCCTGCTCCTTGTTGATGGACTCCATCTGGAGGATGCGTTTGCGCTTCTTGCGGAGGGCGCAGAGGCGATTGTTGATGAGGCTGAGGACGGGGCCTTTGGTGGCGTCGGAGGGAGAAGCGGACGACGCCATCGTCCGGTGGTTAGGCGAGAGGAGGAGGTTAGGTTTAAAGGGTTGGGGTGGTGGTGGCGGCCACCGAGAGCGGCGGATGATTTGGGTGTCTGGAGGAGGAAGGGGAGTATTGGAGATTGGGTGAGGGGTTCTAATGCAGGTCGGGTAATAAGGGTACATCAAGACTTCTGACTCCGGCCACTCCACCTTTCGAGATTCATCTATTTAGATTTGGAAAAATTTTAAATAATGATCTGGAAAAAACTTTATGTCAAATAAAAATCTAAAATATCTTTATTTTTTTAAATAAGTATCTAAAATGAATTTTATTTTAAATAAGAGCATGAAGTGTCTATGTAAATTTAAAAAAAGGATCTGATTTTCAAGATAGTAAGGGCATTTTTGTCTTTTAACTTTTTTTTAAAAAAAATTTCTTTCTTTTTTCCTTTCTCTTATTTTGTCGTTTTTTATTTTTTTTTCTTTTTATGATTTTCTGGTGAAAGAAAAAAAGATAAGAAAGGAATAAAGAAAGAAAAAGAAAAAAAGGAAAAAAGAAAAATAATAAAATATAATTTAAAATTAAAATGATCTTTGGATGAAAATGCTCTTGATCGATCAAAATATTATGTTAGTCAGCGACTGGCGAGGTCAGACCCTTATTTAAAACTCTCATGACCACTTCAGGCCCTTATTTGAGATTGACATGCCACTTTAAGCTTTTATTTGATACAAAGTTCAATTCACGTCCTTATTTGAGAAAATAAAAATACTTTATAAACTTATTTAAAATTTTCTCTTTATATTTATTTGATTTGACGTTTTTGGTCGCCCCCCCAATGGCCAAAACCACGTCATTTTCTGAAATCTGTTTATCATCATCAATTAGATTTGGATGTCTATTTTGCTGCCGCCAAATTACTCAAATGCCCTCATGCAGGAAGATAATTTTTTTTTTAATTAATGATAAGTTGGTCAAGCATGTAATTCATGACATAAATTTTGATTGATTACACGTTATATAATCGTAGTTTATCCTATAAAATAAGGCTAGTCAACGGTTTCCTAGATGCTTCCTTTGCCTTTTCGAATACCCCTTTTGACCTATCAAAATATTAGGATAGGTCTACATCAACGTGATTAGGCATTTCATAAAAATGATGGGCCGCAACCCTTGCCGGTGATCCCGTGATGATAATTTACTTATGGCACAGGTAAAAATTTCAGAAGAATTGGTACTTCGTTACTTCATTAGAATATGGATAAATTCTTGATAGCGTTGGTAATTTACTTATCACACTAATAAAATTTAGAGTTAATACCATAAAAAACCCCAAATTGATATACTTGTGACAAATTTACCCTAAACTAATTTTTTGACCACCAAAAACTCCAAACTGGTACATCTGTGACAAATTTACCCTCCGTTAATTTTCGTTAAATTTTACCGTCGAATTTGCTGAATTGGATAACACGTGACAGTTAACAGATATATTAGTTTAGGGTTTTACCATATGTTTGTCACATATTTACCATTTTATGGTTTTTTGTGGAATTAATTCGATTCAACGGATGGTAAATTTGTACAAGTGTACCAACTTGTGATTTCTTTTAAACATTGTTTGGCATTTCTTTTAAACGTTTGTTCACATTGCATAAAGTCTTAGTCTTACAATATGCAAGATAAATTCAAGTAGATAGTTCTCACCATCACTATACCAAGTGGGTATAGCAAACCCATGCACAAACGCAATAGCTACGTGGCATGCCCCGGTGCAACCATTTCCTCTACTTTAACTATGATAATTCAGATATATAGATCCGATTATGCTGATTTAATTGCCACTGTAGTTACTGAATCAACCCTATATCAAATATCCTCCTTTTTATCTCATTTAATGCTGACTATTTATTCACTTGCTTACAGAGAACATTAAATTGAACCCAATTATCCAATATATAGTTTCGAACAAAAGCACAAAAGCCTGCAAATTATTTCATCATATTGCATTTGGTAAATGTAAGTCATTGAAGACGTACGACCTTTGCTTTCTATTATTGACATAAATTATTTGAAAGATTGTCCAATACTAATTTCAGGACTAATTTCTAATTTTCAAATTAGACTATCGTTTTATTTTGTCATAACACATTTTATACTTTGCACGCCATTTCTAAAAGAGATTATTTTAATATTAGTTTTTCTTTAGCATCCGGTTTCCACCAATGCGATTCAAATTCCAATTTTAATTATTAATCAAATCTAATTTTATAACTATAATAAATTTAATCTATGTTTTATGAATGTATTTCCTTAAACATTATATTTTGAAAACTAAATATTATATTTTGAAAACGTATGAAAGGCTACCCCCACTTTCTTTATGAGTAATGGGGTTTTCATTTAACTTCCATTTCCCAGTTCTATTTCCATTGACCAATAAATATTATTCCCCAGTAAGCCCGCGCCTATAATAGTCGTTGCAGGAGCAACGAAAAGAAATAAAACCAAAAAATAAAAGACAAGTGCTGTGATGGCATTTGTTAGACAAGGGGCCAAGGTGGAAACTCTGAAATTATCTACTAAACTTATTTGTCAAATCTATGGTATAGAAATCTTGCTACAATATCTAAATTAACTTGATAAAATCGAAAAGTTAGGACTTTTTCAAAGAAAATTAAGATTCCATGTCAATTAATACAAAACTGAAAATTTATGTTCTCCATAATAAAGTTGAAAGCTCAGGACATTTTTAACAACGATTTGGAAAGCTCAAGATTCTCTAGATATGGAAAATTCAGTTTTTTCCAAAAATAACTTTCTTTAAAAGAAAATGAGAACCGTTTGTATTTTTGCACTTGTATAGTTTCTATTTCATGAATCCATTCATTCACTTGCTAAAACGATTATATTGATTTGAGTATACTTATTAACATTACTTGTAAATAACCCGGATTTATTTTGTTAAGCTTCAAATGACGAAGAGCTTGTGCTTATTGAGTAAAAGTGCGCATCTTTTTTATCAGCATTGATGAAAAAAAAAACCACATACTGCTAAGCAATTGTAATTAAGACGCCATTAAGTAAAACCTGTTATGCGAAACAGTGAACACGTGTTATTTTACAGATTATCATTGAAAATCCCTAGGAATTATTGAATTTGTGTTATGGAATCATTTATCATATGCTGCCGGCCACAAAAAGAAAAAAAAAATCATCTATCAAATGGTGGCCGCCTATCAATCAACTTTTGGAGTAGTTAACCCATCGGAGACCTCAACGGTCATTCACGGTGAAACGGGCCCACGAGAATCCGAGGAAAATCTTGTGCCTTTGCATTGTTGGTAGGACTTTAGTCGAACAAACCCCGCGAGGCAAAAAAAACAACAACAACAACACCAACATGAGGATGCATTTCGGTGGCAAGAAATCGTTTACTATTGCTCTTGTTTTGCCCCTTCTTTTCCCGAGTAATCTCTTTTCATAGCTATACTCATGAGAAATCGGTCATTGAGATCTTGTTTTACCATCTTCACTTTTGTTCCGACTGCAGACGTGGGGCCTGGATATAGGGAAGAAAGCAACAATTCTCAAAATCGCGCGAAAGCGCTAATAGTAGATGATTTTTGGCGATAGTCATCTTTCCGATGCCACTCGTCCCATAAGTTTCAATAATCCGTGTTTCACTTGTTTGAGTACCTATCGTTTCCATGGTTTTATCTTCACAGTGATCGACACTGACCAAGCAGTCCGATACCTTCCAGATAAATCTTTTGGGACAAGATAGCATATGAAGGGATATGATTCTTCAATTTGAATTTCTTTATTGGCATCAATTATGTGGTCTACCGTCATACAAATCTGACATTTAACAACGACTTTTTTTTTGGGGGGGGGGGGGGGGGGGTCTGGATTCATCCACGACTTTAGCTTGCAACAACTGTACAATTTTGTTCCTTAGGGTAATACTTTCCCAAAAAAAAGAAAAAAAAAGATGGAATTGTCCCTCACGTTGTTCCTCCTTTATTTAACTCAGGGTCAGTTTATTCGAGGAAAAATCAGTTTTTCGGAAATTTTTTTACGTACTTTCTAGTGTTTGAGTTACGTAAAACTATTCAATGATGGAAAATGTTTACCATGGGCTAAAAGTAATTAGCTTAGACAAAATGACTTGGCAAGAAGAAATCGTTTTCCCTGATTTCTATCCTAATTTCTTTGTAATCGTTGTTATTTTGATGGATTACAGAATAAACAAAGATGATATTGATTTTAATTTATTAGTCATTACATGTTACTTTTAACAATATGCCTTTAGTGGATTTACTTATTACCAATTAGGATAAAATCAATTTTAGTCAATTTGTTTTCACCATAATCAAATTCTTCTGGTTTACTTTCTCATAAAATGAATTTCCTAAAAATATTTTTCTTGTGACAAAAAAATTCTCAACAAGATAAACACACCCTAAGAGTTTGTTGTTATATGATTTTCGATATAATTGATCGGAGGAAATCACAAGATGAAATTATCGATGAACATGAGAATTTGAGATGGATTTGTTGTCGCATGATTTTTGCGGGTGAACAAGAGAACAAATGAATCAGTGTTGGATTTTACAGAGTGATCTAGTGACTTTTTTATTTTATTTTATCTTTTTGATGAAACCTCTACTTTTATAGAAGTCTGACTGTGAGGCACAGAGTACCAAATAAAATGAATCATTGGCGTGATTCCTTCTCGAGCAAAACTGGTTCGTGGACTGTCTGTAGTCCAAGTCTTCGTAAGACTTTTGACTTTGTCCTTCTAATCCCGTGATGTTTCAGTCTTCTTTTTTTTGCACCAACCGTATGTTGTTCTTTTATTTTATTTATTTTTCTTTGGAGAGTGGCAGCTAATGTTATACCACGATAAAATGAGGCATGGTTTACTTAGGTTTAGATTGCCGGTGTCTGTATCGAAATCATATCAACCAATCTCATGCAATATTTAATCTAACGATTTTATTTCGATGCAAGGTAAAACTATGTTCATACGACACTCTCGTACTTTCAATTTAGTTAAATTAGACGGTATTGATTTTTTTATTGATTGATGACATGATTGGCTAGACTATCTAAAGATCAAAGTTTTTCTGAATAGATAGTATTTGTTTGGAAGTATTTTTCTAAGTTCTAAATCAAT